AGGTTTCTATTTCAAACCCCGAGCTCGGGAAAATGTTTCTTCAAGAGCAAAACTACCTTTCTGACAACCATTTATACGCTTTCACTATAGGTCATTGCATGCTACAGTCGGGTGTGAGAATTTTGGTTTTCTTAAGTTTCTTTTGGTGAACGCGATGTTCCTCGACACTATGTGGAAATTACAGGGCATCAAATATGCCACCGTGCTTAAACTGATGCTAACACACCCGTTTTGGCAAGCAAGCAGCCGATATAGAAGTATACAGTCAACGCCATAAACGTCGTTGTATCAACGTTTTCTAATGTCGAAGGAATGCGTTCTATTACGCAGAGCATAGAGAGCTGTTTAGCAGCATGAACTTTTTTATGGAAATGCTTTTTGCAAGGTCTTCGCTAATGGCAACCACAAATGGCCATCCCTTTCTGCTTCCCCACCTCTTTCTGACTAAGGTACTGAATACATGAAGCTACATTGTTCTCACCCGCTTCAGTCCGAATCTCCTAAGGGCGCTTGTGAGTATTGATTGATATGTTGGGTTTAATGTCCCAAAACCATTATATGATTATGAGAGACGCCGTAGTGGAGGGCTCCGGAAATTTCCACCTCCTGTGGTTCCTTAACATGCACCCAGGCGCTTGTGAGTAGCTGAGTATGTTTTGACAATGCTTTCTGGTGTTTCCGTGCCTGTCTGGCATCGACAAGACCTATACCCCGCCATCCAGGAGTGTCGCCGTGTGCATATGCTTCCCTGAGATTCGAGTTCGAATCCAGGTGAGAAGCGATGCGGAAAACATCCTGTGGAGCGAGTGCCACTAGGGAACCATCCCTCAGAAAACGTCGCAGAGTCTCAGCGGCACCTCCCTACCATCTAATCTTGGCTCAGTTGCGGGCGTCAACTGCGAACGCTGGTTCTTTTAGACAGCGCGATTAACTCTTGCCGCCAGTGACTTCAGGCCGAACCTAGGCTCCGTTTCAATCTTATAGAAAAGGCTGGCTGGCCAGTTTCTTTTGCTTTGATAGTGATTGGTCGAATGGTTATCTCGCCGAGGAAGGTGGGCAAGCTTAAGCCGCTTTCACTAAGCCTGACCGAGCTGTCAGTTCGAGGTCGTCAGAACTACAGGAGCTCTAATGCGCCAAAGGCAGCAGACCAAGTGAACGACGCCAAAGTGCCCTATAATCTGGTGCTTATCCGTGTCTAAGTGCACATGACATCTGACTTCCTTTCCGATATTTTTGTGCTTTCTATAAGCCCACTAGCACAGACAACAGCAATGGTCTTCGTTCTGCATCTCGGCCCGTAGTGGCTCAAAATGTGTTCTAATTTCGGATTCGTCTGCATGGTAACCTGCAAAATTTCGGGATCACCGTGCTTTGTCGCCATCATGTGAAGAAGGTTATTTTATATGTTTAACCAGCTAACAACCGAATTCCTAAAGTTCGCTTTGTTGTCCCTACAATATTTGGTATCAGCCCCACAGCACAGTCTTTACGAACAACTGGTCTTCAAGATTAGGTGTTTCCTCCACACTCAATTCGAGGAAGGACACCACATGTCATATTAGTGACTGCCAACATAAAAAAAGAATGACCCTAATTTTCGGTCTGGCGGTCCCATTCCGCTTATTTTCCACAGGCTAGGTGCCCTCCCGAGTGACTATAATTTCGTTCTGCCGAGCACCAGGTCGGAAGTGTGCTTGTACCTATTTAACCAGTAGGTACGTGGTGGCCGCAATTCTCTGCATCCCACAGCCGCGGTGGATACTTAACTATTTCACTAAGGCTGTGGTGGGTTAGGGTAAACCCATGGGACTTCGCAGAATCGTATGGGGCTACCTTTCGAGATGAGTATCCGGAAATAACCAACCTCCACGTCGGTGTACCCCTCTATGTATTGGAAAAAAACGGTGGGTTCCCGAACAGCACTGAGAATTGAACCCGGCACCTCACGTATTGTAAGCGTATATATGCTCTAGCCATATAGCTACCGCTGCGGTATTGCGTGCTGGATTTGTGTGCCGACCAGGTTGCTAGATCACTTCAAAGCTGCAGGCTACCCTATACCCTTATCAAAGACTAATGCTACTGGCCAACTTCAAGGGATCACGCAAGAAATTACTCGCTCCACATGACATACAAGTAGACTGACCAGAAGCACCACTACAACCACAGCTATTCTTTTTCAGACGCCCAGGGGACTTCACTGAAAAGAAGCCACTGTGCGTTGCCATTAAAAGCTAAGAACACGAAGTCCTTTTTCTTTTTCGTGGGTATGGCTGAATACCCTCTTTGTGACTTATGTCGTAGCTAGAAGACATTGCAGCACGTCTTCTGCGACTGCCTTACTACAAGATGCAGAAACAACCTCTCGGAACCACTTTAGTTTGCGTAGACCACAGGCCTATGACGATAGTACCATTTTTATAATGTCGTTCTAAGAGGCCATTGCGGATAAAGGCGGCAAAGACATTGCTGAAATTCTTGAAGAAAACAGACTTGCACCGATGGTTCCAGATCAAAGGCGACATTGTGACGGTGAGGAGTGTAAATTCATACGTGTGTGCTCATATACCTCGTTCTATCTCTTTTCTACAACATGTTCGCGCTGGTTTTCCAAATATCTTAATATGTTTACCTCTAATTATTAAACTTATTCTATTGGTTCTTCTAGAGTGGTTGACATCTGTGCCTTTCCTCTCTCTCTTTCTGGTTTCTCCTTCTCTTGGCGCTGGTGTTCTAGTCTGCTCAGTTATTTTGGTTCATTGCCTAAGTACGACATAAAATATCGAGGCGCGTTCTTCTCGAGAAAGCGCTAAACAGACGGCACGACACGACTACTTCCGCCATATACAACAAACTTGTGACCAAGCAAGCAGTGTGCAGGTCAGCCCACATGAGGCGCTTCTACAAATAGGCCTGAAAGATTTTGGGCCCTCATTAAAAAGAACACAAGATAGAAACACTTCCACACGACGCCGCTTTGTGATGAAAAATGGTAACGAAACCATCATAAATAAAACACGCCAGTGCGAACAACAAGAAAACAACAAGCTTTTTTGAATTTCTTAAAACCTACCCTCAACCGCTTCCTACCACAACAGAAACGTGGAATTTACCAAACATCGCAGACTGGCAGATGACAGGGGCTCTTTAATTGAAGCTCACAAATTGATGAACCAAAAACGCTGTCGAATTTGTTGCTATGTTATTATTTGAGAGATATTATTGTGTTTTCTCTTATTTAACTACACTAAAAAATCCCTACACTCTAAAAAAACTGCACTTTAAAAAAATCGAGTAGGAAGTGCATCTTTTTGTCGTGCAACTATAGATATGCTCGTCCTCTGGCTTGCTTGCGCTTTCTTTCTTGAAAACTCGGCGCCGGACACTCTCCTCTCAAGAGTGATAAGTCATGCTTATAGCGCGCATGCCGTTCATGCCCTGAAAGTGTCGGACGCGTTTCAAGAGTGCAAAGAAAAGAACTCAAGATAATAATAGTAATTGATGGGTCGTAACCTCCCAAAAACACTATATGGCTATGAGAGACGCCGTAGTGGTGGGCTCCGGAAATTTCGACCACCTGGGGTCCTTTAGCGTGCGCCTAAATCTAAGCACACGGGCCTCAAGTATTTTCGCTTCCACCGAAAATGTGGCCGCGGGGTCCAGGATTGGATCCTGCGACCTGCATGCGGGTAAGCAGTCCCGGGTAGGAGCGCAAGACAGATGGCGGTTTTATTGTGGAACAAAAATACACTCTTTTTACTCAATCTTCTCTTAGAGCTTCGTCGTAATGGTGTACTTTAGATTTTCCTACAGTGCAAAGATTTTAGCATGCTTGTGGAAGCAATGTGAAAATTGCCCATTATCTTACTGTATATGGCGGGGTACTGCTACTGTCTGGTTTAGCGAGAACGAAATTAAGAGAATGGGTAAAGTAAGACGTATGCACCGTTTAACCAGAACGCAAAACATCATTTGCAGGAATGCGGTAGAGGAAGAAGGGGGAGATGGAAATCGAAGAGAGACACGTACCACAGCCGTACTACCATAACCGGTAATTATTACAACCAAGTCGATTCCAGAAGAACAAGTGCTGCCTGCCACTTATTCTCAAACAGCCTCCATTTTACTTCAGCAACAAAAAATTGACAAATTTCGTTCATAATTCGTTCAAGTAGTGACGATAAATTTGCGTCTGGATAAGAATTTTTTCTTAGACGCTTCTCTTCGGCGTCCATTAAACATCGCGCTGTAGACCCGAAAACCTAAATTCATGGCAATCACTTTCGCTTTTTTTTTTACTCACGTGCCTACATGCGTCGTGTGGGAGAGTACCTTAACGTTTCTAGCCTTGTAGTTTGCTGTACAGGTTCATGTTGTTTCGGATTCGCTTTGTTTTTGCTCGGACCAATATAATGTTTAGGTGTTTCTATTGCTAACCAAGTTAATTTTGTTTCACGCAGGCGAACTACAATAAACATTCGGAGAAGTAGGTGCAGTACCGTAATAACACAGGCTAAGCAAATTCGGAGGCTTTCGAATCTATTTCCTTCGTATTTTTTCCGCTTTTGGCCAAACTGGGTTTTAATGTGTTGGTTCCTGCGAACACTCATGCGAACTGCACAAGAGGAAAGCGAGAACTGTTCCCGCGCTGCGTCTAATTTAATTTGGCACCCTAACACGGGTCTTCCCTTCTTTCTATGGGAGGAGCCGCAGCCCACCTCGTAAGGCGACGACAACAGTCGCAAAGAGAGAGTACACGCGAACTTCCTTGGTGCTGCGACTCCAACACATAGAGTGCTTCTTCGAAGGTGCACGACCGCTTACGCGGATAATTATGCGCATAATTGGGCACACGTCACTGTAGTCAAGTGGCCGAGGCGTGAAAATTCGTTGCAGCCTGGAGTATAGAACAAAAAGCCGAAAACAAAAGGAAAATGTGCGACGTTGGAAGGTGTGGGAGAATGCCCGGTAATCGAAAAATAAATGTAACAAAAGTGATAAGGAAAACAAGGGTGCCAATGAGGCGCACGTAGTCGACCCGTGTCGTACGCCTGCCACTTGTCGCAACTACATGACGCCGTCGTCGGCTGTACGTGTCGTGCCCGACAGGTAAGTGGAGAGCAGTACATTTTTCCAGGTTGACATTGATGACGCCTGCAACCAACAACCGCTTTGGCACGCCTGACCGATTTCCTGTTTCGGTAGTTGGCCTCTACGCAGGCGGCTCACAGGATGCCCCAAACTTCGCGGTACTAGCGTCCAGTGTCCGTCTTGCGCTGACTCTGCGTACGTACCGCTCAGTTACGACACGTGTTGGATTTGACTCTCGTGAGCGAGTGGTGAATGCTCGGGCACTTAGGCATTGCCTTTGTGACGATGCGTGAACGGGAATTTTCAGCACGCACTATAGGAGGGCCGTCTTTATGGAAGCTCATAAGAGAAACGCACTTGTATACGCTCGGCTGCACGCGCATCTGACGACGCTCTTATGCGCAGCCCACCACGGCCGTGTCAGAGCCATGTTTACTTTCGCGCAGCCCGTTTCCCACTCCCGTGTCGCATGCACGAGAGGTGCTGTTTTTTTTTTGCCGGTAATTAGGAATATAAAATCTTTTTCAACTGTGAATTGTACCGACGATGGCCAACCCAACTCTAGGTTTAGCGTTAGTGTTATTGAATCCGCTGAGAGTTTTCGTGAGACCTTGACATTGTTACCCTTCCTTACAGTCCACCAGTGTACAGTGGCCAAGTGTCAACTTTTCTAGTTAACCTCTCTGTCTGCTTTTTTTTCTGTTAACTTCGTTGATATTACGTTGTCATCACATTGCAGAGAGAATTCACAAGTATGCTAACTTATGTCATAATTGTCATAACCAGAATCGCAGAACTGGCAATAAAATAAGGCATTCGATTCCCACAGTGAAAATCATGTGAGGGGTCGAATGTCTTCGGGTCGCCCAAAGCTCGCGCGCGAGTGCGTTGCGATTTCCTACTGGGTTTCAGCTGCATCTGCCGGTCATTTACGATGACATGGCAGTAGCACACATGTCTATTGCAACGCCGACGTCGTGCATCTTTCCTCAGCTACCCGATGGGGTCATTTGGTTTTTGACCGATAAATAGGATACACGAGAATTCGGAACCTGTGTTTTGGCATTTTATCGATCGCGTCTCCAGCTACATCAGTGACCTGTCTTCTGTGATTCTAAGGCAGCACGCTACCTTTAAGATGTTGAACTCTTCATGTGCAACATATTTGTACTTAAACCTTAGACACCTTCATGTATTTTAGACGTGCACATGGCGTTGTGGTTCATTGCTGATTTTATTGATTGTAGTTCGCTGCTAGAGACGAACTATATACCTTGAATACCACTGAAAAGAGTAGTATACCGAAAGACAGACAGACTCAGAAGTGTATTTAGGTTCAGAAGAACAAGAGGAAAAGAATGTTGGTAGCACGTCAGTAGTTTCCAGATGCCTGTTTACACCAGTGCTTTAGTGGTATACCTCAATGATGGGTGGACAATTGGTGATGACACCTTTTATAGCTTACAAGCAGCGGAGCATACATTGTAAAAGGTGATACAAAGCTAGGTGTAGATACCCAAGTTCTTGTGTTAAAGATAAGTATGTTGATATCGGAAAGTACATGAACTATTCCGAAAAATTTTCAGCGCATTATCAGTACTGCCACACACTGAACTCACACAGGGTATGAACTGGGAGTGCTTTGTAGTACTTTCCGGAGCTTCACTAACAGTTCCATTCTGTTTTGTTGGTAGTGATGCGGTTATAAAGATGTGTGTAACCATAATTCATGCCACAGAAGTGGTGCGCACTTTTGTTTTGCTGCGCACACAAATAAGCATTATTCCTTTCGACGTCTCTCCAAACCCTCGGCAGAGAGTCGCGTGTATCTTGTTGGGCGGCTCCAAATTTTTGAAATGATGAAAAAACAATTCATCGGACAGAAGGAAGCAAAGACGGGAATGTGGGCAGGTCGGTCAAAGAAAGCGTGAAGGGACTTTTTCTTTTTTCATAAGTCTGGGGTCATCTACAAGAGTTGTTGAATAAAATGAACTCTCAACTAAGATGACACGAAGGCAGAAACATTGCGTGGTGAGGAGAGAAACCTGTAAGGGAGAAGCGAGGCAGGCACTAAATCAACTTCAACGAAAGCTTGCTAATGACAGGCCGATGAGGCAACGGAAAAGGGCGGCGGGAATCCAAGAATAGGGTCGGGCACCGGATGATGGGCGTGCGAACCAGGTAACGATGTTACTGCAGTGCTGCCTCTAAGGTCCCCGGAGCGGGGGCGTACTGAGCCATCTGGGCCGAGCGGCGGGCCCTCCAGAGCGCACCGCGAGCACTCCAAGGGCCTGAAAATAGATTACCTACTCTTAGCCTCGAATGCGAAATCAATCGGCATACCCATTTCGCCGTTAGCAGCCGCTATGTCAGCGCTGCGGTCCCGGCCGAAGCCCCGACAAAGAGCCCGAGGACGCCTCCCCTGAGGGTCACAAAATGTTCTGTGTGCTTTTTTGGTGCTCTCTCTCTCTCTCAAACCAACCCCTATCACTTCCCAGAGCGAGTGGACTTTCTGCTTGGAGGATGTGACACTGCGAGAATTCCATAGCCATAAACTGGCGTTTTGCCAGAAATGGTGGAAAAATAGCGTACTTTTTCTTGCCAAAATAGTGCGTTCGCGCGGCCGGCGGAACGGCGTGTTGGAGGCGATGTCTCTGATTTTCATTAGCGCCGACCGCCGCACAAGACCTCCCTCCCTCTTACCCCCGCCCCCCTTCTTTGTTCTACCTCTGTAGGCGGCGTATTGCTTATATAAGGAACTGCTCACGTTCATTACTTCGCCCCTCTTCTCATTTCGCCATCCGTCGCCCTGTGTAATTACCCGCTAATGAACTCTCGGCATGACTCTAATTTTCATATTCAAGAAATATAACGGGTCCCCATGACGGGGAACTAGGAACGGCTAATAGCACTTTGCGGCCTGTCCACGCGCAGCAGCGGTGGCCATCGCTTCTCTTCCACGCGGTTGGCGCGCCCCGGTGCATATATACGGTGCGCATTTATGCCGTGGCGCTGCCCAAACACGCGTGCAATGCTGGCTCAGGCCAGGCCTCTTTCACGTGTCGCTTTCTTCCCTCGACTCTATCTATTTTTCCCAAAACTCTGCCGGCTGCTTGCCTTCTAGTTGGCAGCAGAAGCGATCACATAGTGCACAAAACTGAAAGTGTGTGGGTACTGTCATACTCCTTATTACAGCGCTAGACTTCGTGCTTGTCGTGCGAGCACTAATATTGTGAATTCTATAGCAGGGGAGAGATTTTGAGGCAGTTGAGGCTTTGACAGTGACTCTAAAGCAAAGTGAGAGTACGGGCTAGTTGGTATCGCATTTTGTACAGCTCAAGGGAAGACACGGGACAGCCGTATACAAACTAAGACCAGCGCTACGAAGGGAGAATAAGTTGCTTATATATGCATTTAGATGACACAGACATAAAAAACTCTCAATAGCAGGACATTTTGGGATTAGTGGTCGCTTTGGCAAAGCCAAACTTATATGTCCACGACAATATATAAGACAAGTCACGGTGACTTGGTGTTATCAATATAGCTATAAATGTGGATGGCGGACATTTAGGGTATATGAAACATTGTTACGTAAAAATGACACGAGGCGGGACAAGAGCAGCAATGGTGGCGTTGCGGTGATGGGGAGCGGGAGTAGCGGCGACTGGGCGAGGGCTGTCAGTGGGGAGAGGCTCGAAGATGACGACGAGTAGGAATTGGTGGGTGCAGCGGGTGAACGTCGAGGCGTCGTAGGGTCCATGTATAAGTAGGGGTCGAGAATGTCTGACCTGGTGGGTTAGACCAACGGCGGCATCCATACCGAAAAACGTGCCCCGCCTGGTGGCAGCCCCGCCGCAGTGGTCTAGTGGCTATATAAGGTACTCCGGCTGCTGACCCGCAGGTTGCGGGATCAAATCCCGGCTGTGGCGGCTTTATTTTCGGTGGAGGCGAAAATGCTGTAGGCCCGTGTGCACAGATTTGGGTGCACGTTAAAGAACCCCAGGTGATCAAAATTTCCGGAGCCCTCCACTGCGGCGTCTTTCATAATCATATGGTGGTTTTGGGACGTTAAACCCCACATATCAATCTAATCAGGCTAGTGGCAGAAAAAAAAAACAGATAAGCTGGTCGTCGGGTGTTCGCCATTGCGAAGGGTCGCGGAAGGGCATTGCATGAGGGAATCGGTGAGCGTGTCCGGGGGAGGGGCGAGTAAGGCGGGACTTCAGGATGAGTCAACAGACAAACTGACGGAAGGCCGAGGTTTGCTAACTCCTGCCTCACCATGGCTTCAATGAACGTCACCGACAGCTGTTGTAAGTCAGAGGCATGCGTTGTGAAGACGGTTGGCTGAATAGGAGCATAACAGGCGGCTTCGATTTCTCCAAGAAGTATGCGCGTGATGTTATCACTAGAGGCCGGATTTTTAGGCACTAAAAAAGCGTGTTTTAAGCGCCAAAGACAGGGAGGTAACACACCGTTTTAGGCCCTTAAAATCATAATTATAGGCACAATAAATTTCTACAAAAATTAAAATATCCCACAACAACAACGTCAGTGACTTGTATCTACAGCGAGAAGCAAAATAATGATATTATTTAACATAGTAGGAATGTACCAATGACTGAACCTGGCATGCATTTCCCGCGCAATTCGCAGTAAGTGGTCTTTCCTTTTGTTGTCTAGCATTGTGCGTAAAGTGTCCTCCATTCATAGCATTGTGCGTAAAGTGTCCTCCATCCTGTTTTTTTATGTAAAACCACACATACGGCTACTACTACTACTATACTACTACTACTACTACTACTACTACTACTACAACTACTACTACTACTACTACTACTACTACTACTACTACTACAACTACTACTACTACTACTACTACTACTACTACTACTACTACTACTACTACTACTACTACTACTACTACATTTTGCTTGCGTTCGTCTTCTCGTCGTTGCTGCATCGTGCCTACGCCGACCCTGACAACGCTTAGCGTGTATGTGGTGCGTCCTCTC